CTGATCCGTGGAAAGACTTCAGAGAAAAAGACTGAGGTCCCTCATGGATGAGAGCATTCTACTTCCAGACTGCTTTTGGACTTGAGCTGCAACATCAGCTCTCCCCCAAGTCGCCAGCTGCTGGCCTGCAGGCTGTAGACTTGCAGCCCCAGAGTCATGAGAGCCAATTCCTTAAAATAAACCAAAGAGAGGAGGCAGGTGGTTGACCAGAGAAATACAACTGATAGATTCTTCCTCTCTCTCTCTCTCTCTCCCTCCCCCCCCACTTCCTCTCTCTCTCCCCCTCTTTCCCTGGAGAATGCTGAATACTAAGACAATATACCCAACCCCTCCAGCTATACCCTGTCATCCTGGAATGGCCCTGGGAATTTCCCGAGCAAAGCTCCTTAGAGGCATCTCCCTGGGGCTCCCAGCTGCCAAGGAGGCTGGGAGGTGTAGGTTCAGGGCTGAAACACTCTCACTGTGAAGGACACCATGGCTGTCATGGGCACAGGGAGCAACCAGCAATCTCTGCAAGCCCCACGTCTCAGGCCCTGGGCCTAGTGGGCGAGATGCTGGCCAAGACGCCCATGCCTGGGTTTGACCCTGGCTCTGGCTCCTGATGCCAGTTTCCCCCCAGTTCTTCCCCTCTGGGAGGCGAGGAGCTAGGTTCCCCCCAACCCCCATGGGAGACCTGGGTCACATTCCCAGCTCCCACCTTCAGCTTAGCCTGGCCCTGGCCACTGTGGATGTTTGGGGAGTGAACCAGTGAATAGAAACTCCCTCTCCCTCTCCGTCCCTTAGTTAATTAACAAAAATTGTAGATTAAAAAGACGACTTAAGTCTGCACCCTGGTTCTTTCTATTAGGGGCTCAGATCCTGCCACCGCAGACACTCACTGCACATACAACCTGCCTGCATCCCAGCAGACCCCCACCCCGCTGAGCCAGGCCTATCTCGCCCCACTCGGGTTTCCTGCGCCCAGACCTCCGCACGACCCCTCTGCTGCCTCAGCTGATTTGAGCTGAAATGAGATGAGCGGCCAATGTGCGTTTCCTTTCCAGATAGATAAGAGGATTAAGCTGCCTCTGGTAAACAGCCATGTCCCCTGACCTTGGACTTCCTCGAAGGGTTGCAGAAGGAACGAAGTAGGAGTTTCTGAGATGTGCCTGGTGTAGCAAGATGCGCAGCTGCTCCCAGAGACCGGCGAGAGGAACTGGCCAAGGGCGCTTCCAGGCAGGGGTGTGGCCATGGCCAGGCGTGGTCACTGTGCTTCCACCTCCTCCTCCTCACTCCCCTCTAAGGATGTGGTGGGGGCACCGCTGTGGCCTGGGGCAGAGATCGGGAACGACCCCCTGAGATCCTGTACAACCTTCATGAGGTGGCTCTGCATGTCCAGCTTGGCCTAGCAGCGACTTGATGCTCAGGACGAGCCCGAGGAGGAGGGGTGAGGCTGTGGGGGTCCCACACAGGCCATGAGGTCTCTCAGAGTCTGTGCCCACCAGCCCACATCTCCTGCTTCCTTTCTCACATCACGTGTGCCCCGGGGGACCATGACTGTAAGGTGGGGAGGGGTCCTTGTGTAGTCACAGCACACAGGAATGGTTAGCCCACCCTTCTCCCATCATACACACTCACTCCTAAAACTCAGCCTGGAGGCTTCCTCCAAGAAGTCTTCCTGGACTTGTGCAGACCCAGTTAAAGATTCTCCTGACACTCTGTGAGACAACAATGGGGGGGACAGGGTAAGCCCCCCGGCTCTGGTGCGACACGGTATGGGTTCCCAAGCCTGGTGAAGCTGCTTAGTAGCAGTGTGGCTCTGGACAAGTGTGTGCCTCGACTTCCTCCCCTGTAAGATAGGGACTACAAATGACACTGAACACCCGAGGCTGCTATGAGAAGTCAGTGGGCTTTCAGGTTTTCAGCCTGGCTGACTTTATAACAATATCATTACTTAACAACATTCAAAAGATGGAAATGAGCTGCGTGCCCATCAGTGGATGAAGGGATCAACCAAATGTGGTCTACACTTAGGACAGGATAGTAGTCAGTCTTCAAAAAGAGGAAATTCTTTTTTTTTTTAAATGTATTTATTTATTTGAAAGTGAGATTTATAGAAAGAGAAGGAGACACAGAGAGATTCTCCCATCTGATGGTTCACTCCCCAAATGCCATAGCTTCAAGGGCAGGGATTGGGACAGGCAGAAGCCAGGAGCCAGGAGCTTCATCCAGGTCTTCCACATGGGTACAGTGACCCAAGCACTTGGGCCATCCTCTGCTGCTTTCTAGGACTGTTAACAGGAAGCTGAAGAGGAAGTGGAGCAGCCGGGACTTGAACTGGCGCCCATGTGGAATGCCAGCACTACATGTGGTGGCTTAACCCACTGCAGCACAGTGCCAGCCCCCCACCCCCAAAAAAAGGAAATTCTGACACCTGCTACAGTGTGGATGAATCCTGAGGACTGCATGCTGGGTGACACAAGCCGGTCACCAAAGGACATACACTGTGTGATTCTGTTCATAGAGGGCAGCTGGATTTGCATCAGAGTTGTGGAGGCAGAAAGTAGAAGGGTGCTGCCAGAGCCTGGAGGAGGAGGAGGAGGAGAAGGAGGAGGAGGGAGGAGGAGGAGGAGGAGGAGAAAGAGGAAGAGGAGGAGGGACTCAGAGCTTCCACTCTGCGTAGGACGGATCTGCGGATGGATGGTGCCTACAGGGGCATAGTAGTGTGAGAGTGTCGAAGGCCCCTGGAGTGCTTATTAAGACGGCAAATATGGGCATGGATTGGGTTTTGTTACTTTAACTAAAATGCCTGAGAGAAATCGCTTAGGAAGGAATGAGGTTTATTTCAGCCTGTAGTTTGGCAGGTGCGCAGTCCAAGATGGGGTGGTCCCAAGGGTTCAGACATCTGGGGAGGCTGGAGGAGGACGGAGGGAAGATCAGATGGTGAGCCAGAGTGGAGAGAGATCAGGAACACACACTTCCTTCACACCCCTGCGTCTTTGTACAGCCACAGATTCCATCAGAGGGACTCCACCCAACAGCCCATCATGCTCCAAAGCCCCGCCTTCGGGCATCAGGATCCAGTGGGGTTCCTGTCTCAAGCTGTGAGCCTAAAACTCTGGGGATCAAGGATCACATGAGCCTTTGGGGGTGATCAGGGAACCCAGATTATGTCCCACACCACATTCCATATTTCACTACAGTTTAGCCATCAAGAGGCAGGCACGTGGTAGGCGCTGTGAGGGTGCTGGCTACTAGCTTCAGCACGTGGCCTGTGTGTGTGTTAGCTGTCTCCCTCCTCCAGGCCCCACAGGGGGAGCTCGGCCCTGGCAAAATGAGTGCCCTGAAAAGAGTGGGGGGGGGGACCTGCAGGACTCATGCAGCTGGGGAGAGAAGCGGGGTAGAGGACGGATGAGGCATGGAAGATAGCAAAGGCAACTGCCCCCAAGGAGAGGTGGCAGGGAGTGTGAGTCTCCCAGGATGCACCTGGTGAGAAGGCACAGCACAAGGCTGAGCAAGGCCACTGGAAGGGCCGAAGAGAGCGGGGCAGCCATCCCTCCTTGGAGCTGGGGCACGAGGACCAGCAACCATCACACCGGACACCCTGTCTCCCAGTCTGCCATGTGTCCATGAAGCAGCTGTCATACTGGGAACAAAGCAAACCGGAATTGGGGGTGGGGCAATGGAGCCACTGACGTCTTATTTTTTTTTAATATTTATTTATTTATTTGAAGGGCAGAGTTACAGAGAGCCAGAGAGAAAGAGAGAGTGTGTCTTCAATTCACTGGTTCACTCCCCCAGATGGCCACAACAGCTGGAACTGGGCTGATCTGAAGCCAGGAAACAGGAGCTTCCTTCGGGTCTCCCATGCGGGTGCAGGGGCCCAAGGCCTTGGGCCGTCTTCCACTGCTTTCCCAGGCCATAGCAGAGAGCTGGATTGGAAGTGGAGCAGCCGGGACTAGAACCAATGCCCCTATGGGATGCCGGCACTGCAGGCGGAGGCTTTGCCCACTACACCACAGCACCGGCCCTGCCACTGACTTCTGAGAGCAGATTCTCACCCAGCTCCCAGCAGATCCCACTGAGGAGAACGTGGAAGAGGCCTGTCACAGAACAGTCTCCAGGTCCAGCTGAGTCGTAGGCCGTGCACAGGTGGGGCTGAGTGCTCTTTCTGGAGGCGAAGGTGCTGCCTCCCATCCTGGGGCGCTCAGGTTGGAGAGGGAGACACCTGTGGGATGGGCCCAGGGGAAGACACCTGTGGGATGGACCCAGGGGAAGACACCTGTGGGATGGGCCCAGGAGTCTCCTGGTTTCATGCCAAGCTCAAGGCTTTCCTGAAGCTGCCACAGAGCATGGAATGGAGGTGGCCCAGGGCTCCAGAGAAGCAGGCTCGGAGTGAAGGAACAAAGCCTGACACTGGCTGAGCTGCACCCAAAAGGAACGTGGCAGACGCCGACTGCTGGATAACCCATCTTCTCCAACCTGCTTCTCCCCCATCTCTACTCTGCGGACAGAGTGCACCATACTTACTTCCTAGCCCACCTTGCAGCTGGTGGGGGTCAGAGGACACAGCCGACATCTTCCAGAAGGCTTCCAGAGGGCAGAGATCACTGCTGCAATCATTTTCTCCATTTCCCTGCCTTGAATGTAAGTGTGGTGCCTGGAGCTACCACAGCCACTTTGTGGTCATGAAGAAAACTAACTGAATCTCAGAGGTGCTAGCTTTGTCATCATGGAGTCACCACACCAACACCCAGCCCTGTTACGTGAGGAGTCACTGGTGAAGCCACCACGTGGATTTGTGTTGCTGCATTCCTGATAAAGCAGGACTCCTAACCCAGCCCCCTCAGTCAGTGAGAGTTCAGTGAATTACTGCACCAAAGTATATGTAACCCACAAACCCAACCCCTCCCCCCCACCAAGAGGGCTCCTTCTGCAGCCACAGGGGGGTTTCCTTCTGCGAAGGTTGCTTCCCCACTGCCCCACCATCTTGCTGGCATAGTGCAAGGTCTGCCCACAGTTAGGGTGAAACCAAATGTTTTATTAAAGCATGTGAACAGTACAGGTGATCTTCATGTGAATAGACAGCAGGTGCACAGCACGGTCACCCCATCCAGCCTGGCCCATCCTCAGGGCAGCTGTGCCCAGCTCTATGGGCGCCCCCCACAGCCAGGCGCAGGTCAGCCGTGGTCGGCCCAGAAGGCGGTCCTTGCAGATGGAGCCAGCCCCGAGTGTCCTTCCTCCACGTGTCCCTCTTGGGAACGTCTTTTCCTAACTCTCACAAAGGCATCTCGCCTACTGGGGACAGCCCTCCTGGACACGTGGAATTAAAAGATACGTTTATTTTGAAGCAAAAAAAAAATGTTAAATCCAGGCTTTGTTTTTTCACAATTCACATTTTTCATGAAATTTTTGAAGATTGCTTAAATGTATGGATTTCATATTTTTTGCACCAAAATAAACATCTCATAATCCAGTTTGTCCATGAACTCTTTGAGGTGCCCTTATCCAGGACTCCCTGTCCAAACTGAATTTCAGACAAACAGCAAATCATGGCGTGGGATGAGTATGCCCCACACAATTTGGAGGCCACACTTACCCCAAAATCTTGATTATATTGATCTAAAATTCAACTAATTGGGCATTTTTAGACATTTTAGATGGGCATTTAGTGTGGCAAAGCTGAATCCAGTCAGTTTATGAAGGGGAGCGTAACATTTCTCGGAATTGGATGAATCAGTTGGTAAACCACGGGCAACTTAAAGCCGGCCGTGGTCGACCTGCTACAGAAATGGGCAACGGGCACAAACCTGGGCTCATCTTTTTGTAGAGCTGGTCATCTGGGGTTTCTAGAGGCTTCCGTGTCTTTGGCAGTGTGGGTAAAGACCCGGAGACCACACCACTGGATGAGCCCGAGGCACGCGGCCATCAGATAGCATCTAAGCGTAGCCATGTTAGCAAATGGAACATTCTACACTTGGGCTCTAAGAACAAGCTACGTTGGGAGCTCGGAAGCCCAGTGCAAGCCTCTGAGACTTCCGGAGGGTGGGATGTTATGGTGCAAGCAAGGGCTGCCTGAGGGTCTCGGGCCTCCCGGGCACACAGCCAGGCTGAGGCTCAGGACCCCGGCTTCTTGCGGGCCACAAGGAAGCACACCCCTCTGTTGGGGGCGGTGCTGGCCGAGTAGCTCTGGGGGCTGTACAGCAGCTGCTCAATGTCAAAGCCAGCATCCAGGACGGCCTGCTCCACCTCCTCCTTCTCCAGGGCCACGCAGGAGAACTCCCGCTCACCCACCATGTAGGAGGACAGCTGCAGCGTCACAGTGGTCACCAGGTGGCCGCCCGGCTTCAGCAGCGAGGCCAGGTTGCGCAGCGCCGCCCGGTAGGCGTCCAGGCTGCAGCAGGCGCACTCCATGGCCAGTAGGGTGAGCACGCAGTCGGCGGGCGGCAGCACCACAGGGGTCAGCGGGTTGCTCAGGTTGGCATCACACTTGAGCACCCGCTTCACGGTGGCACGCAGCTTCTCCGCCTTCTCCTGCCACCGGCCACTGCGGAGAGAGCGTGCGGGTCATGCAAGGTGAAGAGAACTCCAGTCCATTGTGGCCAGCAGAATGGGGCCATCTCCACACCCCCAAAGGACTACTGGCCCAAGTCCCTGGACCAGATGGCAGGCTAATCCCCAATCTGAGCCTCAGTTTCCCCAGCAGGAGGAGAATAGGCCAAAACAAGTGCAGGGAGCTTCCCCTCTCTGAGTCCAT